CAAAACAAAGTCTTTTCAGTGGCAAAATGAACATGTGTTTTTCACACAGCACTAAAATATCAGTACACAATTATACAGATTAAGCGATATGATCTATCCCAAATACTTTTTTAATCTCCCCTTGGACTGCCAGCCAAAAGGATAAAATTTTAGGGTACGACCACATGAGATGAGTATATCTACCACTATGCTTCTTATTTATATTTCAGACATAATGGAGAGCAGAAAGAGTCATATTTACATTGAATAGCTGAGGTAACATGTACTCTGTGTATTATCTTGTATTCAATTGATTTTTCGTTTTCTTTGCATTCAGTAAAATATTTCACCACATCTCATCATCAAGGGACCCAAAATCTTCACCCCAAGATCTTTTATAATTACTAGTAGAAACATTTGATCAAAAATATAACTTCCTTCTTTATATATTGTTAAGTAGTTTTATTTATAAAAATGCATCATATTTTCTAAGCTGATCAGTTATTTTGAATAACAATATTACCTTAACAAACTAACTAGAAACTAAAGATGTTAAATAAATGTTGTGGAGTAATAAGCACAATATTTCCATGTAGGTGTCAACTGACCAAAATATGGAAGCTGCTTAAACAAGATGTGTGCAACAAAAGCAAATGCAGTCATATTTCTGCCAAAACATACTAAAATGAACAAAATACAATCTGATTGTTTGCTTTTTACAACCTTGGCATCTATAGATGCTGCGGGATTGGGAGAATCTTTGCAAGCAGACACCAGGAATATCAATTCATAATGTACTTGACACAGTTTTGTTGAACAACACATCATTTAGTGATAATTCTCTGCATGTTAATAGTCTGATCTGAAGCCAGGCCCTAGCCTATACGCAGTGTTCCCACTGAATATGTATTTCTGACTGCACGGAGGGTAAACATGTTATTTAATCATCAACATGTTTTCAATCGTCATTGCTTAACTAGGATGAACAAACCCCAGGTGGTGTACACATAGTACGAGAGACTTTCTGCGGGGAGGCAGGCTGAATGCATATCATTCAGCATTTAAATGGTACGTGCCATCCGTGTAGAAGGGCAACTTAAGGTGAACAGCAATCTGTGTCAAAAGTGGGACTGGAAGGTAGTCTTATTTATGTTGCTGGAGTCTCATGAGAGACACATGATAACTTTGCATCGCAGGCTGTTTATTTTCTATCAAACTTGTCATTTATTTTAATTCAAACAAAACTTGAATTGAAATAATGCATGAACATACCTAGAACCTAGATTCCTAGCTCAGGCATCAGTTAAATATGGCTTTATTTGAAATGTTGTAAAGTGTAAATTCTCACACTGATGTCACACTTCAGTGATTCTGTCTGTAATTATACCTCTGGGTGAATTAATTAAAACCTTGCAAGTTGGTTGTGTAACTCTGCATTTATCTGACTGCTTTTGTACCAGTAATACTATATCTATCATATTTGATAAAGCACTAACTGTAACTGTATAACTTGGATGAACAGGTTTAAGTGTAACCTAATTTGTGCCCTGGGTGAATATTTAATTAAGCGCAGAAATCAGAGGCTAGAATATTTATCATATTTATGAATTATACTATGATTTCCTGCATACAGTCTTTATCAATGAATAATAAATCTGAGGGAGTTCATTCAAAAGAATCACATATACATTTTTATTTGTTCAAGGCTCTTTTTTACAATCTGCCTACACTGACCAGAGATCAGGTGTCAGAACATGCTAGTTCCCATAGCAACCCTTGGTAAAATTGAATAGCATAATATTCCCATCTCTGACCTTCATAGACAAGAGTCTTGTCATCCAACTGTGAGGTTATTCAGTCTTTGTGCCAGATACGTCACGGCCATACTAAAGACTGGCTCAGACAAACAGAATGAAACCAGGTTCCTCATCGAATAATACTTGTTAACTAGAAAATAGTTTGCTATGGCAAATTAACACATTTAATGAAAACAGGCCAGTGATACTTGCACAGATGGGCTCAAAGTTGCCGCAAATAGGCATGAAATGTACCACATGCAGCATGAGTGTTCAACAACAAAAAGTATTGGCCAGAGTGGTGGGGGGTTGGTGATGATGTGTGTCTCTTGATCTCACTCCAGCAATCTACCATGTTACTGGACAGTTGGCCAACACAGTTTAGGGGCAAAAGCACTTACAGTAGCAAGGATATTCCTAGGACAAGCAGTGATTTAGTATTTCAATTAAAGTTGCAATATTTTCATTGTAACAATTGGTCAAATGAAAATGCGTATGTAGAGATTTCAACTTGTAGGTATGAACTCACAGAATAATCATTAACTCTGCAATTTCACTCACCTGGACAGAGTGTTTTTACCATCTTTCAGTTTACTCCCCCCCCAATAAAAACTAAGCTAAAAAAAGAGTGAATATTGGACTTGAATTCATTAGTTTGCCAGAATCATGACTCCACATGAATGCTAATGTTGCTCTGTATCTGCGAGATGTGTAAAGTTTGCGAAAAAGTAAAATGTGATAAATGTTTTGTTTACAGCTTGTTTGTCACTGCCCACTAGTGGCCAAACATCTGCTATGCAGGTTTAAAAGTCCAGTGTGTAACATTAAGGAGGATCTATTGGCAAAAATGGAATACAATATTCATAGATATGTTTTCATTACTGTATAATCACCTGGATATAGGAATAGTTATGTTTTTTGATAGCATTTTGATATCCACTGACACCACTTCATCAGAGTCCACCATGTTGAACTGCCATTTCTACCCTAGCCCAGAGGGGACAACCCTAACTCTGCCTCTAGAAGGGGGCGCTACACCGCTAAATGCCACTAACTGAGACACATTGGTCCTTTAATGTTTTAGCAGCTTTAATTCAAGATGAATTCAAGACTAAGCACTTTAAAAGGGTTAAAATAACACTCAAAAACATGTTACGAGAATGACTTGCTGGATGCAAAGTCAACACTTAAACATGTTTACCAGTCAAATCAAAGTTGTGAGAAAGAAGAGGGGCTGGCTCCCTTCTGGAACAGCTACATTATCACTTCAGATGAATGGTTCTCAAGAATAACAGCTAAACTGGAACAATAAGCAGCTGAGGGAGGATGATGGTGACGGACTTCTTCCCTGATTAAAACTACCTCTGTAATTACTACACACGATGGGGACAGGGTCTTCTGCTGAGTTGACGAGTGTTTTGTTTCAGAGTTAACATGCTCCAATTCACCTGTCCCCATGAGGCGCAGCATGCACCTCTCTTATGCCTTTGGCCCTCTCAGCTACTGGAGTTGTCTGCTTTGTGTCTAAACTGGAGTGGGAGCCTGTTCCTAATCACAGCAATCACTCATTCGAAAGGACCCCCCCCCACAGACACTATTTTTAGCCCCCATGTGTGTATATACACAATATATGTATATAAAAAATGTTTTCAGAATTGTGTGATTATCACTCATTTTGCTAAAACGACAGTGCTTGAAAGCTCAGTGGGATTCAACAAAGATGCCTTTAATTCCTACAAGGGAGGGAGACAATTATTACTGATTTCATATCAGCCATGTTCTGCTGTCAGTCTGCACTGTGGAAAAATCTGTGATGCAAAGCTAAATTAGATTTGCTCATGATGTGTTTGACTGGCACCCATTATGTGCAATGGACAAGTGGGAGCTGCATGAATGGGGGTGGGAAACATTGGTTATATCTCAATTCTCCTGCTCTTTCTGAAGCAGGTCCCCATTCATGGGTGATTAACAGGCAGATCAGGGAGGTGGGCAGTGTTTCTTGGATGGCTTTGACTAATCTAACTGCTGCTGCCTCGCTTGGGTAATGGCTACAGGCTGGCTTGGAAAAACCAGACAAGCAATGAAGAGAAACATTCAAACTACTGTATACTGTAGAGCTCCTCTCTCAAAGCCTAAATCCTTCATGTGCACTTTTATGCAGCCATGTGAAACACTACAGGATGTGACTGGACTGACTGACAACTTCAAAGATTAAACTGATTATTGGCTGTTGCAGGAGTAAAACCAAAGTCTACACACACCAATGCCATCACATATCGGCAGTAAAATGTAAGCAACAGCTTAATCCAAATGTGCACTATAGGACATTATCAGTGAGAGATACTGATCTCATTTAATCTAAGTTACAGTATGCCAACTTGACTGTGTCTGATAGCTTTTGAATTACATGCAACTGTGGTTATATATCTATTTTATCCATTATTCCTTCAGTGGTCACTGACTTTTAAACAATATTCCATTTCCACTTTTCTTACACATTTCTCTACATATCAGTTTATGACTAAATTTTAATTCTGTTTTGAACTCAAGAAGTCTGAGTTTTATGTCAGTTTTGTTATTTGAAGCGTGAAAATGAAGGTTTTTCCTCTATCATAGTCTGACATGTAGTGAAGTAGGTGACATCTTGACCACTCAATAGAGTTGCTTTTCGAACAGCAATAGAAATATTGCTCCACCTAGTGGAAGCAGCCGTTATGGTGTTACAGGGCAACAGCCTGACTTGATTTCACTCTTACAGCAGAATGACTCCCCGCTCAAAATTTGCAGGTTTTTTTTTTTTTTTTTTTTTTTTTTAAAGATCCATGTTAACTGTAAACAGAGGCTGGGAAAGGCTCGTTGCTCTATCTCCTCCTTATCTAAATTGTCCGCGCACGCGCAAACCTTTAGAGAGGTGGCACAAGAAAAAGATGTTTAAAAAAAAAAAAAATTATAAAAAGAGAGGGAAGAAGGGAGAGGGGGTTTTCACAGCAACATAGACACGAAACAAACTTGGAGGAATATTGTAGCTAATTAAATAAATAAAAAAAAAGAAAAAGGCTGCTTCTCACTGTTATCCCGAGAGTTTATTTCAAACAACACCGCACTGAGCACGGTGCCCTATTTCCAGGCGACTCTGTCTACCTGCGCTGAGCCCCTCCCCTCTCTCCGCTCTGCCTCCCCTCCTCCCTTCCTCCTCCTCCTCCTCCTCCCCCTCCTCGGAGTTTGTGTTGCACTCGTTGCAGTAGGAGGGTCCATGTGCATAGAATGACGTCGCTTTGACTTCAAGTCCGACCGACTCCTTCGTTTGTTTTTTAATACTCTTTTTATCCGGGGGGGCCCCGCGAATCGGTAATCTGCAAAATTGCGGCCATAATGTGAGATCATCCGCCGCTGTCGTCCGACCCGCCGCTGTCGTTCGTCCTGTCAGGAGCAGCCGTTCGCTGTTGAGGATTACTAGTGATAATACGCAGTAGACTTCTCCAGTGTGTCTAGCTGTCAAACTGAAAACTATGTATTGGCAAGAGTAGACAGGACACATTTGTTGATATTTATTGACTTTGCTTTTGCGTGTCTTTTTTTTTTTTTTTTTTTTTTGTCGGTCCTCTTGGATTATCGCTGCCCAGCAACACGGCCACCTGACAACTCTGAATGTCGTAATTAAGGTAAGGAAGGACAGAGCTCAGTGTTTGACTGTACATTTTAATTTCGCGCTGGGGGTCTCAGATGATAATGAAAGCAAACTCCTCGCTTTTCAGTCCGGGATGACTGACTACTTTCATCCCCCGGTTCGTTTGCTGTGGGAGAGAAAATCTAATAACTTTCAACCGGGACCGTTAGCCCTGTGTCTTGGTCCATAATAAAAAAAAAAGTCGCCAAGAAGTTTATGTACTTTGTGTACAAACAAAAGCCACAGTCATTTTTAGTAGAATTAATAGAAGCCTCGTTTTTGTATATCTGTACGCACCTGTCAAGAGGGCTGAGAAATATCTAGTGAAGTAGACAATCTCAATAAAAATGTGAGTTAAATCATTCATATTTTCTTCCTTCTGCACTTAGTCCCTCTTGTCATTCAAAAAGCCGTCAATGAGACGACTTTCACACAGCTAAAAAATAACTTCAACAGCAACAGCATGGCCAAAAAAAAGAAAAAGAATCGTCTTTTAAGTATTTATTCTGCGCAAACGCAAAATGGAGAGATATGCAGAGAGTTGCATGCCCCACAGAGGCAGGGCAATCACGGCAGGAGCGAGAAGGAGGAATTAACAAGCTGTCTTCTCTTTTATTTTAATCTTTATACGTAAGGATCTGCACATAACAGCCTGAATAACTTTAACGTGGCTACTCCACAGCTGTGAGCCCTTGAAAGAGTGAACCAAAGCATGCAAAATATATATATTCAAACCTTAAAGCAAACACTGAAAGCAAGTCGTTCTCATTGCAATCTGATACATGAAGTGTCTTATCATTGCATGTGTTTTTTTTTGTTGCTTTTGCACATGACGGGGCTGCTCTGGTTGCTGAAGCAACATTTCAAGTTATGTCGCAGCTATGTTGTGACTGCAAGAGCAATAACTATTGAGTGACAGCTTTCGGACCAATCCGTGAATGGCCTCATAAAGCTGGTGGATTTCTGGCTGAGCTGTCCAATGGGAGCGCAGCAGAGGTGGGAATTTAAACCAAAAGCCCAGACGACGTCACGTAGCTTCGTTAACCCTTGCGATGCAGTTTTTCTTTTTTTCCCCCAAGTTATCAGACTGTACATCTCCTGTAGTGCAGCCGATAAGGAGCTTTATCTGTGTGAGAGAAGAAATACTGTACAGACTTGCTTTGGAGTTTTTTTTTCTTCCCCGATTTAACATATTGTTGACAAATCGTAATTTATGTTTGAGTCTTGGTATTCTTTAAAAATAAGTTATTATAATGTTAAAATAAGTGAAATCTGTTGTGTGTCACATCCTCACTTTTTTTCCTTTTGCCCTACCTTTTATGCCTCATTAGGTTTTTATCCACTGAAGCGGAACTGCTTGGTCATCTATCTAAAACCAGAAAGACTACTATATATTTACACTACATATTTAAGATTCATTAGCATAATTATTAATATATACTTTGGTCGCATATTAGACTTTTAATCTCTGCCTGAAGGTAAATACCATTAATACACCTGCCACTCAACTGTGGCAGGTGTATTGAATTTGAATTGTGTGACTTGAATTTTTCTCATTATTTTCTTTCTTTTCTTTCCCTCATTTACCAGGTGAATCAATGAGCCAGCAATGGAGACCAAAAGATACCAAAGTTTCTTTGATGGAAGCGATACAGAGAACAGATGGTCGCAGGTCCCGAGCACCATGGAGCATTGCTGCAGTACAGAGGATTCAAGTCTGACCAACAGCGATATCCTGATGGACATAGTCAATGTTAGCTGCCCTGCTGGAAGCCCGGCCACTGACTGCAAAGACAACAATACAAAGAAGCAGGAGCAGCCAATGCTTCGGCTCAGCCAGAACCAGCCATTTGTTCTCCCACACTTCAACAACTCTCTCCATGGTCATAAGCAGGAAATGGACTCCAAGGAGCTTTCCAAGACTGTGGCTGAGTCTATGGGCTTGTATATGAATGCTGCCAGGGAGGCAGACTTTGCCTTTAGCCAGCATGGGGGCAGTACCAGCCCTGGGAAGATGTATCCAGTGTGTGGGCGGTCTGTGGAGGAGACCCAGTGTGGTTCCACAAAGAGCCCCAAGTTAAAGCCATTTGGTTTCCAGCAGCCCAGCACCACTCCCAGAGAATGCACCACTGGGACCCCAGTTAGCTCAGCTTCAATGCTGGTTTCATCTCTGTCCTGCAGTCCCCAGACCTCCAGCTCCATCTCTAGCCCCGGGGGCAGCAACAATATGGTGTCATCAACCACCAGTCCTCCTACGTGCTTTGGACCAGCGTGCTCGTCCGTCAGTAGTCCTGTCAGCCAGACGTCTTGTGCTGCAACTCTGGCCAACATCAAGCGCAGGAATTCAGCCACATGTAGCCCTATAGAGTCCAGCACAGTGGGCTCACCACCACTCACCAGCCCGCTCAATGTCATGAGGTCCCCCATGTCCAGCCCCCAGAGTATGAGTAGTGTGAGATCGCCTCCGTCCTGCAGCACTACCTGTAATATTAGGTCATCGGTCTCGAGCCCTACAGGTGGCGGCTGCACCAGCACTGCCAACAACTGCAACACAGTAAGGCCCTCTCTCTCCAGTCCGGCCACAGGGGGAACCATGGCGGTCAGCAGCCCACAGAACCCCTCCTCAGGTGGGTTCCCTGTGTCCAGTCCTGCTGGCGGACTGGGTTTGGTGCAGAATGACACCAACAGCCCAGAAGCAGCAGGTCTGACCAGAGACACGGACTTCAAGAACTTTGAATTCCCGAAAGTAGAGATGGTAGATGGGGAGGTGTTCAATGTCGGCTTAGACCAGATGGGCATGGTCAAGTACATTAAGAATGAGCCTGGAACTGACTTCAGGAGCATGTGTTTGGGCAGCTCCAAATGTAATGCGAGTAGCACACCTTTTATCACACAGATTAAGAGTGAGCCAAACAAAAATGAGGGATGTATGAACCCTCAGCCCTACGGTGATCAGTCACCATCTCTTGGTCTCTTTCCTGCATCTGAGACCACCTATTTGTCTCTGAGGAATAATATTGATGAATACAGTCTTTCTGGTATCTTAGGACCCCCTGTCTCCTCTATGAATGGGAACTATGAGTCCGATGTGTTCTCCAACAATGTCCTGTCTAAAGGGGTTAAGCAGGAGACCAATGATGGCAGCTATTACCAAGAGAATAACAGCATGCCCACATCGGCCATTGTTGGAGTTAATTCCGGTGGACATTCATTCCATTACCAGATTGGAGCTCAAGGAACAATGTCTTTCACGCGGCATGATGTGAGGGACCAGTCCAACCCTTTGTTGAATCTAATTTCACCCGTAACTGCATTAATGGAGTCCTGGAAATCTCGGCCGGGCATGTCACAGGGGTCACTGTCAGCCAGAGGTGAGGGATACCCGGGTCAGAACTGCATCACGGACAGGTAAGGAGAATGAACATGTCTAGTGCCTTTCAGTGTATCTCCGTCAGTTCTCTGGCTTAGCTAAGTTTTGATAAATATTCCGGTTTTGCTTTACAGAGAGAAGCAGTTTTAATTTTTCCTAAATTATTTTGTCAGTATACCTGTATAACAGCATGCCTATTTAGAGGATCATATATGAGGGCCAGTTTGTTACAGTCAGACTCATATTGCACAAGGGATTTAGGGCGTTTGCTTTGAATAGTTCAAAAATAATAACAACAGCAGGGCTTGGGAAAGGCAGTGGGATGCTGGCTGGGGAAACAGGATTTGAAGGACGGGGTCCAGGTCATTGTTATAGTAGCATGTGATCACAACAGCATCTCTGCTAGCACTGCCCTGTGTTCTACTGTAACACAGAGGGAAAGTTTACCTCTTATCAGGGGCTAGTGTGTATGTACAACAACAAAATTTATTGGTCTGTTATCGAGAGGTCCAACTAAGACCTTGTGTAATGCAAATATCTGTTTTTATGGGCCCTAGGCCATTGGCAGCATAATAAATTATGAATGATTGATCACATGCTTTTGCCAAACTGATGAAATAAACAGTGGCTTTTGTGAGGGTGGGGGCTGAAACAAAACAAACAGGCCAAAGGGAAAAAATCTATAATAGCCGCCAATCTGGCAAAGTGCAACTTTGACACAGTTGTTTTGCTTCCAGTGTATTCTGGCGTTCTAGTTACATGTGACGCTGAGGGAAGTAAATAATCATCAACTGGATTAATAAAAGTGAATATCAAAGCCATAATCTAGATACCATGAAACACATGGTAACATTGTTAAAAATACAGAAGTATGTATACACGCAACAGAGAGACATGCTGGAGCTAGTTTACAGTAAATCAGAGGAAAGGTTAGTGGCCCTGTATCTGGAAAATACATGAGAATGATATGATTTTTATGTATTTTAATAGCATTTACTGTCCATTGGTGTTTTTGTAAAATACATTGCTATCATCTATTTATCGATGGGATGTTATAAATTCAGTTTATGAGCTGGTGCTAGGAAGCACAATAAATGACTTCCTGTTTACTTGCACGGCTAGAGAGCCAGACGTTTGATGTAAGGGAAGTACAGTATTTGGGCTTCTGCTGGGTTGTTGGCGTATGCTGATGTCGGCTGCGTTCGAGTGTGGCTTGACCATGACAGTTCCAGGCTGACTTTGGGCAGTGATGTTACACAGAATCTCAAAATGGAGATTTATTAGATAAAAAGTTTTCCTGATTGAATTTGTACAAACCAACTTTGCAGATCTCACTGATTGCTCTACCATTTTCAGTTGTATATTTTCATTTTCTATTTTTATTTAGATTGCAGGGACAAATTTGGAGGAGGGGACTAGGAAAAAGTCGGTTTATCAGTGTTTCTGCCCTCAATGTATGTTCATGAAGGTCCTCAGCTGAACAGATTAATTGTAGTTTACAAATGGAATGAAAAACATTTCCGATGATGATAGTTGATGCTTTCCTGCATTTATCATACCTTTATTATACAACAAGATATTAAAAAAACCTTTTACTGTCACCTTTCACTGTAAGATGTGTGGTGTGATTTTCATCACACTGAAATATATTTAATAACAAGCTTTGCTGATAACCAGATCAATTCTTAAATAGTTTTTCTTATTCATAGCTTATAAAACACAACATTAGCGTGATTGATCTTTTTGACATTATTTGTATTTCTTATGGCAAACACGTATAGTAAGCACACTGTACATGTGTGTCTGTCTCATCTTATCTCATCATGAGTATTTTTCATGTCTTCTCTGTTCGACGTGTTTATTCAGCTTTATGTGTACAGTACACGATCGTCTAGAGAGTAGATACTCCGTCTGTGTGTGCCATAACAAGGCTTGCAGCTCTGAGGAGACTGATACAGCCCCGTTACCTTGGAGGCGACCCATATGGCAGGAGGCAAAGCGATGTTGACGGGATCACTGCCACCTTGGTCCTAATGAGATCCAGCTTAGCCCTAATGTCAGACAGGATGACAGTAAGAGGTGGGCCACATGGCAGCCAGCCAGGCAGGCAGGGAAGCAGACAGACACAAACACACATATACATATATACATACAATTAATGTGTACACACACACACACACACATGCAGATATATCTTAGTTAGAACGCAAGAAACTAACATTTTTCAGAGGGTGCTGCCTACTTTTAGTGTCCTCTTACACCAGTAGTATTGTACTGATTGACAGCTATACTTAGATATAAACATAGGCTTATTGTATCCTGCCTGAAATCTCAAAGTGCACTGCAGGAAGTCTACTGTCGAGCCTTGGACTGACTACATGGCACCCGGGCCCAATATTTCATAGGCAAAAATGTTACGTAACCATTAAAAAGCACAACTAAAACTCTTTGATCCGCTGAAGCCTTGGATGACAGAGTGTAAAATCCCTTGGCTCTTTTTTTTCTCACTTTGGTTTCCTCTGTAAATGGTTTTAATTAAAAATGGCTGCTCATCTGAGCAGTCTGGATTACTTTGTGCAAAAAACATTTTAACTCAGATTCACAAGAGAGGAGGAAGGAAAAAAATGAATTGCATTAACCAGAATTGTTGTATTCATGTGGTGTTTGATTTAAACTTAATGCTTATGACAAACTGTGTGGCCAGAATGGTGCATTGTACATGATTCAAGGTTTAAATGCTGAGATTTTCTTTCTTAATTTTTTTTATAACCATGAAGTAAAATTCCTGTATCCATTCTCTTCTGCGCTATAGTTTGAAGTCCACTAAGAAAGAAATCTGCTTTGTATGAAATATATAAATATTGAAATTATTATAAAATGACCTACATTAGCGCGCTGGATTATGTTTGCTCCCTGCCTAAATCTCCAAATCTCTTTTCACCCTATTTAGGGCATTTTTATGCTGGTTTTTGCAGTAATATTTCACCAAATAGAATTACTCTAAAACTTGTCAGCCCTATGACCTGATAATTTCATAATCTGACAAATGATGAAGACTCAAAATAGAAGCCAACAATGTTTTTTTTTTTCCATTTAGATAAGCTCTCATTAAGGATTTTTAGCCTTTCCTACAGCCCTGTGGCACCTTACTATAGGCTGACATCTCCCTTGCTTTAAGCTTGTAGCCAGTTGCTGTAGATCAACAGAGTGCCCATCACGAGGAAGCACCAGTTTCAAGCGAGGAGAATGCTTTGCACTGGACTCTGGCCAACTCGCAATGTTCTTCAGAGGGATGAAAAGGCATACTCTTGAGAGCACACTAATAAGGCTTTAATTGTATGTTCCTCCACTAAATTAATGGATGAAAATGATTTGATTAATTCAGACACTGCTGGATACTAATATCCAATTAAATCCCAACACCAGGCATGCACAGGGGCTCCCAGTGCATTATGGGTTCCTGACAATAAAGCGGGCAGCTGCTTGTTTGGGTTGTGAAAAGGATGTTACAGGTGAAGGTGTTGGGGAATGGCTGCCGGTCTCAGCTGTCTACACAGCAGACGTACTAATCTGGCAAAGATGTTGTCATATATTGCATGCAAGTCTATTAATTATGTGCATTCTCTTGTGTCATCTGTAAAAAAAAATCAGTAAACAGTAGTCATTAAATGAAAGAAAAGAATACAATAATTTAATTGTGCTAAATTTGATATAAAGCACATATGCCAGCAAACTCCAAGTAACAAGTTCATGTTTTTTTATTGGTGTCCTTCTTTTTTTCATTCTGTAACTTAACTGATTCAATAAAACTGAAGGAACGTCTAATAGCTTTAGAAAAACGTGAAAACCTACTTTAGGTTACTCTTTTGAATCTGTACAATCATATCTCAAGTGCAGATGGAAATTACTGAGTACAAGTCATGTCATGCATTCTAAAGCAAGAGAGTGTAATTATTCAAATACATAAACATAGTAAATCAATGTCTCTAGTTACTGAATATATGTGACTAGCAGCATGTACATTGATAAAAATAATGCAGTGAAGGGTTGAGTTCAGACCAGTTGAGGGTTAAAGTCGTCATGTGCTCTGTGTAGACTATATAGTACATTCTTCCAATTCTTACTTCAGAGCTGAGACTTAATTTCAAAAAGAAAATATATATTAATTTGTTTTTTTCATTCATCAATATGTGTTTGAAAAACGCATTTTATAATTAATCCAGACTGTGTGGTGGTTTGAGAGGAGATTGGGTGAAAAGGTCATGTTTTTCAGTGTGAGTGAAACCCGGTATGGTAATTGATTGCCCGCTAAAGGATGCTCTGAATAGTTGATAACAGCCATCAGTCATATACAATAAAATAATACCCTGCAGTACAGTTATGTTGGATTAAGAAAAAGTAATTGGAATGACTGGTCAAAATCTATGTCAAACATTGTATTAGTCACAGGATTTGGCACTGCATATAGTAGAGCTTTGTAAAGGTCATGAAGAGACAGGTAAAGACTTTACTCCTGTACACGCTTGAACAAGGTTAAAATGATCGAGGTGTAACACTTTTCATGTTATATTGTTTCTCATGGACTGAAGTATGCTGAAAATGTATTCTGTGCTGTCATAGTGCTTTGGGACAACACATGAATAAATCACTGTCCATGTACAGGGCTCTTTGGCAGTTCAAACTCCAGTGAGTGATGAAAATCAGCCTGTTCCCCCAAGCAGAAATTAGCCATGTTTTCACGTCGAGCTCAAGAACAAAAACAGACTAGCAGTAGAATTTCAGACTGTGAATCGGGTCACGAGGCAAGAAAACTACTTGACTGATTTGACTACTTGACAAACTTACTGATTGAGCATTGAAAATAAATTTTTAGCTTAATAGGATTTGTCATGTCCAAGGACAGCCGTGAAGCACCTAAACCACTCGGCTCCCTTAAATTGAGCCTCTTTCTTAAGAAAAGACGAATAGTTGAATTGTGAATTGCGATACATATTTATGCGTGGGGGGGGGGACAGATGAACATGGACAAATCAAAATG